TCACACAAGGCACCTGACAAAGAGAAGAGACCCAGGTGCAGCAAGACCAGAACAGAGCCAGCAAATGAAGACTGTTCCCAAATCTAAAGACCAGTAAAGACAGCAGCACTTAAGATGGATGTGGTCAGACACAGAAATAGCCCGAGAAAGTTCTAGCAATAACATCAGGCAGTGGCCACCCACAAACTGCCAATGAACTGAGACCTGACCTGCTGATGTGGAACCATGGGACACACCGGACGTTCCTCTGAGCTGGCAGGCGAGGCACGCCTTCTCAGAAAGGAAGGAATCGCCAGTTAGCCCTAACGGGTTAGGGACCTAGCCTCGTTGTTCCGACTCCTTCATGAAACAAGGGCTTTCTACAGGATTCTGACCACACAGAAGATCAACACTCTGATGCCTGTGACTAGAATATACATGTGGAGAGCAACGAAATGGAATTCCAGCTTTGCAAATCAATCACATTAGCTTGGTTAATAGGATTTCGATTCTGGAAAATAAACCAATTTTCCATTTGCTTTTGAGTTTGTGAGGCCCATGGGCAAACCTGTGACTGGTTGTAAATTCCAGAAGCCTTTTGTAAAATGCCTTGCTTTAAAGCACCCACTCCTGTGACTCCTTTAAATTCCAATTCAGATTTTCATCGCCCTCACAATCCACTGTCAGCAATTCTGTCAAATAAAAATCTCCGAAGTCAATATAAAGTTTGCATAAAATAACAACAAAGAGCACATATACGTTTACATTTCTCCTTTCAAATATAAATTTATGCCAAATTACATTTCTGTGTTTGGATATAAATTTACTCCAGACACCAATTCCTGGGCTCGGACACGTGTAAAGCCGTGTTTACCTATGGGACTGATTGTTGAGGTTCAGCGAGCCGCTCTGGTACATCTCCTCCAGCTGCTTCCTGTTTCCGAAGTACAGAGCCAGGTCCGTGGCGATGATGGCCTTGCGGATGATCTCCAGCACGTGCTCGTACTCGCTGGAGCTCAGGGTGGAGAAGATATTGTGCCCTTCCAGCTGCGGAGACACAAACACACACCACCAGTCACAGGCACAGGCCCGCGTCGGACGGCAGTTTTTCTGTCACTTGAAACATAGCGCACGTCAATGGCATTTGGCTCACAGAGGACAAGTTTGGGGCTAACAAAGGAATTGTTGCAAAGCTAATGGAATTAAGGTCTCGCGGTCTCTTTACGCTCCGACAATGAAGCTACCATTTAAATGACCCACTTATACTGCAGTAACACCAGGATACCCCAAATCCCAGCGGCTGAACTATAGTCCTAGTTTTGGGGTATTTCTAGAAAGTAATTAAAGGGCTGGAAAATGCAAAATATTTAAGTAAAAGACTTTTCTTCTTAAACTAATTAAAAACTCGAGTAAAATTTATATTATACTGAAAATTAACAGGCTTAAAACGTCATCTGTGTTGTCCACTTCAGCAGGCCTGATGAAGACTAACCAATTTTATCCGAGAAGAAAATGTCCCGCGACCTCCAAATAAAGTTTATTTAGGCAGATTAACACCCCCCTACACACACACACACACACACACACACATGCAAGAACACATCCCATGAAACCCAAGTCGCCATCTTGTCATCTGTCCTCACGGGGAACACAACACGGCTGACCATCACTCGGAACAGGCCCAAGCAGGGGTCACCTGGGTCCTAGCACCTCAGAGTCCTTCTTCTGCATATAGATTGTTTACAGACTTTTTACAGGAATTCCTTCCTCTGAGAATGTTACGTTTTTATTTGTAATTGAGATAAAAATGGGTTTTTGTTCAAACAAAAATGGTTGAGATAATTAAGATGCATTAACTTTGTGGGTTCATCAATTATTTTTAATGATTTCATTGGTGATCACAGCCCTACTTGTACCATACTGGTTTTTAATTGTTTTCACTTGTCTTCAGCTACAATTATTGGCTGACAAAATACAGTAAAAGCTTGAAATTATTAAAGTATATTTCTTTATAAAATCAGCATCTCACTAAGACACTGCTTATTACTCAGACGTAAGCTGCTTGTGTGTCATTTATTTTCAATCATCAGAATCTTTCCATATTATTTACTCTTAAGGTTTATAAATACTGTACTTAAATTATCCCATTCTAGTTGGGTATTTTCCCAACAATAATGATAGTAAAGCCTCACGTTCATAGAATGCTTTAAGTTTAGAAAACACTTTCAAACACATGATTTCACTTTCAGATGATCAAATTTAAAGCCGTCTTCGATACCCATCTGAAATGGAGCATTTGCTTAACCATTAGCAAGGTAAGGTTGTCCTTTGAGAGAAAGCGCAGAGCTTACACATCCCGGTCACTTACTTCAGTCATTTTTATGACGCCACCTCATGTGAAGTAGCTTTCAGGAATGTGACAGGGCCACACGTGGGTGATGAGGGTGGGCTTCATCTCCACTTGAGGAGGAAGCTGTGCACGCTCGGAGTCCTGCACGTGGGGCGCGTGGTGCTGGGGGCTGAGCCGTGGGGCACAGGCTGGTTAGTGACGAGGGGACAAGAGGAGGGCGCAGCACCGGGCAGGAGTTCGAGCGCTGGCAGAACCTGATTTCCTCTCCGGTCCCCTCCAACCTCCACTCGCCACAATTTTATCGTAGAATGTCACAAGAAGGGGACCTGCTCTCGGCCTCGTGCTGTGAAATCTGCTTGGCTTTCCTCTGCTCCTCACTCCAGTGGGGCACAGGCCGAGGCCTGTCACCTGTGATTCCACCTCTAACATTTGGGACTGCGGTATCTGCTTGGTGGCCACGCACCTGGCAGGTCGCCTGGACAGGAATCACAACTACAGGCTTCACCCTGTATCACCAATAAGCCATTCAGCGGTAGTGTACAGAAATAGGCTAGCATGCTACTGAGCTTTTCAAATCTCTCTAAAATAGGGACATCTTGGCCTGGACTCTATAAATTCTCTTGGCAACCACAGAGTTACAAACTGACTGCAACTATATATACAGACAGTGCCAAAAAACGTAAACACATCTTAAGGAAGGAAAAAAACTATTAAAATTGTAATAATATATACTGATAACGAAAGATGACTACAAATACAAGTCACTTGTATACATTTTTTTGGCACCCCTGGTATACTGAGTGTGTGTCATTGATAATCACATGTTTTCATCAGATTCTAAAAAGTGTCCATGGTTTAAGACAAATTAAAAACCATTTTAAAGGATCTATATACCAGGTCTGACAATTAAGTTTGCGAACTCATCCTAGAAGAAGTGCTACATGCCTCACTGCTGAATATCACTACGGTCACCTTCGAAGTACTCCCCTTGGGAAGCTATGCACCGACACTAGCGCCTAGTCCACCCTTCAAAGCAATTTTGGAACTCTTTTTCTGAAATGGCCATCAGGCTCTCATCGTATGACCCTTGATGTCCGGAATGTCATCAAAATGCCTTCCTTTCAATATTTCCTTTATCTTTGGGTAAAGAAAGAAGTCATTGGGGGCCAGATCAGGTGAGTAGGGAGGGTGTTCCAATACAGTGCTTTGTTTACTGGCTAAAAACTCCCTCACAGACAGTGCCATGTGAGCTGGTGCATTGTCGTGATGCAAGAGCCATGAATTGGTGGCAAAAAGTTCAGGTGGTCTAACTTTTTAACTTTTCAGCACTTCCAAATAGTAAGCTTGGTTAACTGTCCAGTTGGTACAAACTCATAATGAATAATCCCTGATATTAAAAAACTTTAGCAACATCATTGCAACAAGTTTGGGAACTTAATTGTCTGACCTCCTAGTCTGCTGGCTACTTCAGATTCATTATTGTTTTTACTACTTTACAGTATCAAAGGAAACTAGGTGGAAAAAGTTCGAGAGAGGACGTTTCTAATGATCAGTTTAGATCAGGACCCTTTTCATGGCTCCTTTAACGTTTTATGAGAGTAAAGGGAAAAAACAATAAACGGCCCCCTTCCCTTCAAGAGACTCTAGAATATATTCATCAGCGTTTTGCTAGGAAAACACAAGAAAATCAAGTAGACAAAGCAATAAAATACAGCGGATAAACAGCTTACAATATTTTCAAAGCTCCGACTTCACATTAGTTAATAACATAATAAAATCTTATAAAGCAGTGTAATGCTTTATATTCCAATTGATTAATTTATTATATTACAGTTACTAGCTTAAAGTACGTTGTCTTAAGTTCATATTAACTCAAGGCAGCTGATGCCATTTTATGGACCAAGCATGAAGTAACAAGCACTGTATACCCCGGAATGTTCTAAAACCACAAATGGGTGAGCAGCTTCTAACCAATTCTGTTCCTGGAGAGCAGCTAGCTGGGTGGGCTGTGCAGAGGCTCTGGGCCCTGACGCTTGCGAGGCCTCGGGGAACGGAAACAATGCCGAGACAGCCAGAGCAGAAAGACCCGAAGGGCTGGCTGCGCGGGACCCGGGAGGCCCCGCAGCTCCACAAGGACGCTCGAGGCCTCCGCGCTGCGTGACCGTGGGAGCGCGTTCTCACCACAGCTACAGGGTTCCCATCCCAAAACGGGGACCACGGGTCTGTGCTTAGCAGATGATTCTTCTGCAGTCTCACCCTGTGTAAGGCAGCAGCAGCTTAGTACCTACTGCATCCAGGACCCTGAGCACTACAGCTCGCCCGGAAGGAGCGCAGGTTTAGTGGAGACAAGCACCTGCGCACTCGCGAGGCTGGGTCTGAGCTGAGCGGAGGGGAGGCGAGCTGCGAGCTGCAAGCTGCAAGGGGACGCATGCGCGCTGAGGGGACGCAGGACACGCAGGAGCCGCAGGGAGGCCAGGGGTTGGGTGGGGATTTCAGGGTGGCTCGACTCACTGTTGGGGAGGGAAATGGCGAGAATGAAAGTAAAGGAGCTTTAACACAAGGGCGAGGCCGGAGCTGCAGTGTTATCTGATGATTTTAGGCAGCGTGGTGCCGTGACCAGGTCTGCGTTTTGGGACCATCGATCGCTCTGGCAACAATATGCACCGCACGTAGTCAGGGCGGAGGAGGGAGGACACCCTGGTCATCCCGGGCAAGCGGGAAGTATCTTAACCACACAGAATTCCGCACAGCCCTGCGCTGCTCGGCTCTATAGGAGAGACTGTCACAGAAGGGCCCGCCCGCCCCTGCAGGCCTCACCCCGGCCACCCTGCCCCGCTGGGCTGTGAATACCAGCCAGGAAGTGGCAGGCAGGGGCTCCGGGGTGAGACGTCCATGTCGCCAGCAAGGGCATCACACACGGCAGCGGTGTCGTTACAGACACCTGAGGCTCTGAGCCTTCTAGTGTCTCGCCACCTCCTGCATGAAGGCACCGACGAGCTCGCTCGCGACTGCACTTGTGGAAGGGGAATAAAGAACGCCTGTGTCACAGGATACTGTACAAACAACAGTAGGCACACGTGCACGATTCTTAAGTTTCTGGTTTATGATAAGTACCCAGTAAGTGATGGCGTGATTATGATGATGATGGTGACAACCATGAGATGACACAATCCACCAGTACAGCTTTTGCAGTCAGACTTCATGGAAAGAGCAAACCAACAGTACGCCCGGAAGTGAATTTGGTGGCCCAAGACCATTGCTATTCGGAATACACCTGCATAAAGGGGCAGGTTTAAGCGGCCCCTGTCCCACGCTGGGTTGGAGTAAAGGCAGTGTGAAAGTAAGTGCAACAGTTTGGCTGTAACTGCAACAGACAACAGTAGCTCTGCCAAGTGCAGACAAGTTGGGAGAACACTTTAGCTGTGTCACAGAAATGTCAGCGCTATTAAAAGTAATAAAAATGTCACGGGCTCCCAAAATGGTGGGTATACAGATAACTTTCTAAACATATTTCAAAAGCCCTGGATAATTCAAGATTAATGGAATATTGAGAAAATTTTCTTAATAATGAGAATAATCATTCCTAATTAGCCTGTTTTCTAAAATTTTGATTTTTGAGTACTTAACATGGGATATTCACAGAAGGCATATGACAGAAAAAGGGTAGCTTCAGTATTCAAAATAATCACTGACATCTCCTAAGGAAACAGAACAAAGGGATTTAATATTCCAACAGTAATGGCTCTATCAAATCACTAAAAATATGTGTGTAAAATTGAGATGAGCACACAACGCTTACCTGTTTTCTTGGTGTCACATACACACAGTCTGCTCACCTAAAGCCACGCCACTTCACTTCTACTGAGCCAGCGAAACCCTTTGTCTCAAGGGCACGTAGCGACTCACTTTCCCCTCCAGAGCACCAGTATTTGCAGTCTCCGCCTCGGCACACATCGTTCTGCAACCTCGGAGTTCCCTAACTGTCACACCTCTGCCCCCATGCGACTGCCTCTGCCCACCCCGGCACAGCCAGCGATGGGCTGAGGGCAGCCACTGCCTTCATGTGGCTCCTGAGAGGACAGGGCCGCTAACCCACACCGGAAAACTCCACGCCACGGGGACAACTAGATGTGTGTGCGCTTGGGGGGGGCTCGAGGCCACGCACAGCGGCACCCTGCTGCCCTCGCTCTGTCGTCAGGTCACCTCGCTGGGGGACTGAGCCTGCGCTGAGCCTTAGTGGTGAGGGAAGACGGACACAGAAGGCAGCGAAGAGTTACAAAGAGGAACTCGAAACAATGGCACAGCACTGGGAATAGCCTGGAACTAGAAAATACAGCAGACACAGGGTCCCGGGACAGACAGACCATTCATAAAATGTGCACACTAAGTAAGAAGCAGTCCATTCTCTGGCCTGGGAACAGCTGATGACCGTAAACCAGGAGCTTCGTGTGCAGACATACATGGATTTGAGAGGCACCGCCTTGGAGAGATGGTGACCAATGAGGGCAAAAGGCAGTCAGACAGAATGTGCGCCCTGAATCTGGGATGGCCTTGGGGCTGTAGTGGCCGAGGGGCCAGCGCAGCACTGCCTCCTCCAGGCGGGAATGCCCTGCCTCCTGAATGGCCGGCCATCACGACCTACACACAGCCATGAGTGCCAGGGGCCGTCCCCAGGAAGACAGCCCTGATGCCCAGGAGGAAAGGCACTGGGCAGCAGCCCAGAAAAAGATAAGACGCACTTGTCTTTTCTCTAGATGGCCTGCTGTCTCCTTACTTCATTCGTGACTAACTCGGCCCACTGCTCACTCAACAAGGACCGCCCACTGCGTCCTTCTCACTGTGACCAAATCGGCGCCCGCCCTCCCTTTCGGCCCGTGGACAGCTGTGCATGCGTGTTAGCCTGAGGGCAGCTTTTCAAGTGCGCTCCTTACTATGAAGTGTGTTTCCTCGCTGGCCCTGCTGATGCCGCTTTGCAGCCAGCGAGCTCCTCATACGCCCTCTGGATGCCCAGGTGACAGTGCCCGCCACACCGCAAGCCAGCACTCGGTTAACAAGTGACAGTCTCGGGTGTCCTGACAAAACACAAAGCTGGCAGGGTTGTGACTGGGTGTAGGGGGCAGGGGAGGCTCAGGGAAGGGACAGGAGGACTGGAAGGCCACCAGCCCCGCGGCTGCAGGAAGGAGGTCGCCGCAGCAGACGTAGACAGGAAGCACAATTTTGGCCACACCAAGTGCCAGCGGACACGGTTGGAGACAGAAGCCATACTGCCCTTGGCTGAGACGCGGAGCGGGAGCCACAGCCTGTTAAGAGGCATCGCGACCCCAGGCGGGGGGCCAGGCGGAGCCCCGAGAGGAGCAGCGAGTGGCAGAGCTCTGGACCCTCCCGACCTCCATCACTCCAGACCCCAGATGGCGGGGGCTTGTGGTCATTTTGTCACCGCTGCGGCCCCTGGGCCTACAGCAGGCGTTGGCAGCTGGGAAGCGCTCAGTAAGCAGCTTTGCTATTGAACCGACTGTCAAGGGGCAGTTGGATGGATCCGGGAAGAAACGCTCTGAGACGTATCATGAGCATAAATGCAAAATCAGCTGAGAGTATAGAAATTTCTAGAAAAGGAGGGAAGCCTTTCCTGAATACTCCTGCCCGTGGATACGGGGCTACCTGCCACGGCCTCAGTATATTCTCCCTGTCACGGCTCACACAGGGGGTTTTGGTCAACCCGGGATAGGATTCAGTTCCTGACTGACGGGCTTTTCACCGGAATCCACAGCCATCCCCAGCCCTTCCTCCCAGCTTCCTGTTCTAGTCAGTGGGGACCGTTCCTTCTCTCACGTTTCAGATGCCAGCAGCTTGTCTGAACCCACTTACTACGTTCTGACCGTTTCAGGGACTCCGCCTCAGCCTGGAACCCCACACTGTGGAGGGTTTGCTGGCGATGATGCAACCATTCTGAAGTGCGCTGCTGTGGGCAGCGTGCAGGGCCCGTGCCAGTTCCCCCCACCACACCCGCTCTGCGTCACGGCTGCTCCGCATGCCTTACAAACAGCCTCATGTGATGAGTTAGGTCGCAGCAGACATAAACTATCACGTCACACACTTCTGTGTTTATCTATTTGTAAATAGATAAACATGTTACATGTATTTTGTGTATAGACAGAGGGTGCCAAAAAAATGTGTCCACATTTTAAGAAAGGAAAGACTATTAAAATTATAATAATATATACTAATAACAAGTCATGCATATGCATTTCTTTGGCACCCCCCCATACATATATGTACAGATAGATACACACATATCCACATGCCCACACATGCCTTTCACCCTGCTGAAGTTCTAGGAATGCACGTATCTGTTTATCCATCCCTGCATACATATATAGGTTGTTAAAAAAAAATGAAGGGAGGATGGGTGTCCAGGGAACATGAAGGAAGCCCATTACATATTGCTTTCTGGGACAGAACCAGCGCACGAGCAGGTGAAAGGAACACCCCTCTACTTGCTGGATGCGGCTAGGAAACACCTGAGCTCCAGTTGTACCTAACACGCCTTTCGCCCTCACCTAGCAGGTAATCAGGATAGCTCGTACGCTTCAGAAATTTCCTCATTTACCTGCCCGGTCCCGAGGACACGGGATGTGGTCAGGTAAATGTTGCTGGGTTTGGAAAGGTCTGTGTGGGTGTTACCCCCCTCCATCAGTTAGAGAATCAGGGCGAGGCTGGTGGGAGGGAAAGCCCTGGCTGCTCAGGCGAGGCCTGCGCCACACATCGGAGAACGCCGCACCAGGTGACGGCAGGCACCTTTGAGGTCCCCAGCTTCCTCCAGCCCCGCATGCTGAAGTCACTGCCTCGGGAACGCAAACTCCTTCCCTAGACACATAAGCCCGAGACTGAACGAGGACTTCGCTTCCCACTCTGAGGCTCTGACAGTGCCAGGGAGACACAGGCTCCGCTGATCTGAAGTCAAAACCAGGTAGTACTTTAAAACTCCTCTGCGAGAAGAATCAAGCCACTGTGAAGTGACAGTGACCGTGCTGACGTGAGTTTGAGGAAGAAGCTTTGAGACGAGGGAGAAGCAGTGACGTGAGACTGACTAGTTCAACCTCCAAGGTCATCTTCAAGGCAAAAAAACAGAACAAAACACAGGAAAGTAAAAAATAAAAGGACTTCCATAGACTGAAAACCTTGAATTTGCCTAACTTTCAAGACTGACTGTTCAATGCATTCTGATTCACGGTTACGACAGCCCCCACATATTAACCTAAACAGTGTGAAACAAACTTTGCCTTCAGGTATCACGGACTGAAAAATCAAATGCGATGGACAAACAGATCTGAAATCTTAATAAAGGATTCTTTATCGGAAAACCACAAGTGCCTAGTGGTGACCGCACACACGTGTCTAGAACGAGCTGTCCCCGCTGTCCTGACAGAAGCCGTCAGAGCACCCCTGCTGACGCAGCCTGCTCTCCTGGAAGGGCCCGGGGCTGGGTGGCCGTCTCACCTGCAGGATGGACACCGTCTGGGAGAAATGGTGCTGCTCCATCGTGGACGTGGAGTAGAGGGCGGCCAGAGGGTGGTCGAACTTCTGCAGGTAGCTGTTACTGAAGCCCCGGTGGTCCAGGTCGTGACACAGACACGCGATCAGCAGCCCTTTGCGCTTGAAAACAAGACAGGGCACAGGTGTTCAAACCAAGCCCCGGACACGCGTGCGCGTGCAGTTCCTGCCACACTGACGTCTGCCGTTAACACGGCAACATCCTGGGAACCTTTGCAATTCCCAATTATCTCACTTGTTTTAAACATCTTTCTTTGTTTTTCTGCTTATGAACTTGACAGTCAAATTATTCTTGAGTTGTCCTGCTCAACTCTGGGGAAAGTGTAGGCAGTATCAAGTGAAAGCAAATGTTCCAAAGAATTACAGATAAAAATAAATTCACATATGGAGAGGACAGTTTCAGTCCCTCACTCAGGCTTAAATTCAAACAATGTTATTGTTATTATAAATATAAATAATGACTATAACACGTAACTCGTGTGGCGTGTGCAAACTGAAAACCAGAGAAACAGAAAAAGCAGAAGCAGCTGAAGGGAATGCGGAATTCAGGGCCGACCCCTGGAGGGCCGGAGACCAGCAGGCTGCGAAGAGGGAGGCGGAGGCGGAAGCGGAAATGGGAGGCTCGGAGAAGAGCGTGGACGGGAAGCTGGGGGGGGGGGGGATTGGGGAGGTGCACAGGGCTGTGGGGAGAGGACAGCAAAGCACGACAGGGGAGGGGCGGTGGGAGGTCCCTAGCCTCATGTCCTGTGTGAAGCAGGGAACAAGACAGGGCCATTTCCTCATCAGAGGCCACAGCTCCCTTCTCCACGTGGCCAGCTGTCCAGGACAGCGGCTTCACAGCAGAGGAGGGCGGGGACTCGAGTGCGGGCTCTTACAGGCATCTCTGGGTCAGGCGGGGAGGGGACGTGCTTGGCGGTCAGGATGGCCCAGACCTGGGATCCACAGGGCTGGAGCTGAGCTGTTCTGAGCGCCCGGCGCCGGGCCGGCGCTGGAGGCCGGGCTGGACAGTGGCGCATGAAGCACGAGGCTGTCCCCAAAAGTCTGCGAGGCGGGGAGCGTTCAGCCGGTAGCTGAGCCGGGTGCGCGAGGCCAGCGCCGGCGGAGGGCAGCCCCGAGCTGCTCGCTGCCACGTGCGCCAGGAGCTCACCGCGCTCGGGCCCTGACCTGTGCTCATGTCCCGGGCTCTCACGTCAGCGGGCGGCGTCTGCGGCCGGGATGTTGTGCAAGGAGCCCAACGCCCTCGCTTTACATCCCTCCGGGAGACCCCAGTTTAATAAGGAAGGAAGACCACGAAAACGACCGTTTCCTCGGGGAGATCGGGAAGTTGGAATTTCTGTGTCTACACTTCTTACACAGAACAATGTGACGAGTGTTCGGGTACAGCCATCTTAAGATGAGCTTCTAGTAACGTCCTGAACTGGAATGTGTCGCGGAGCACGTCCCCTATCGCGTCCCGAATGTGCGGCAGGCACAGTTGGAGCGCTAGCCCGTGTCTGGGGCGGACAGCACCGGCGCGCACACCCACCTCCAGGTCGGTGAAGAGCCCGCGGTTGTTCTGCAGAATGGCGTACATGCAGTGCGCCACGGTCACCGCGTGCTTCCAGTTGTGGTAGGGAACACGCCTGTAGTTTTTCTTCACAGACATAATAAAGCGACACAACTTCTCAAGGTCAAAGCTGTGTGGAAAAGAAACGGTTACGATGACAGACACCAGTGGAGAAGCAGCACACTCCGCGAGGCCTCTGGCCCGGGCGCGCACACGTCTGTGCGGCGCACACTTGCAGCCGTGAAGACGCCAGTGACTGAGCCCAGACGCGCCGCAGCCCCGTCGGCATCTCCCTTCTGTTTCTCTGGCCAGGGAAGAGGGCACGCCTCTTTCCCAGCTTCCGCTCTGATCCATTAGCTGGTCCAGCAGGGAGCAGGGACGAGAACCAGCACGCGGCTCCGCGCCGTCAACTCCCGGCACGTTCTTCACCTGGCGAGCACCTCCCATGCCCGCAGAGCTCAGCACACACAACGCATTATCGTGCTGCTGAAGAGCATTTTGAACTAACGTTTGCCAAAAAGCAAATTCTGATTCACAAACTATATATATATATATATATATATATATATATATATATATATATATATATATATATAAATAATTTTCTAGATTAGTGATTATTCTTTCAAAATGAATCCAAATTATTATGCTACTCAAATTATTAAGTGGCAAATGATAATATTCTGACACGGTACATGAAAGAAATGACGTACTTTTGTTATGCAATATTGGTATTTTACATGATCATGTATTTATATTATTTAAGTCCTTACCAAGTATCTCAGTGCATTTAAGGCACCTTAATTAAACAAAACATGTCAAAAACACTTAAAACAAAACACTTAATATAAAACAGGGCTCTTTGATATACCAAAGAGATGCGAGTTCAAAAAACTTCTAAATATATGTAACCTAGATTTCCTCCACTGAAAATTTCCAAATGTCCTTGAAATATAAAGTGTTTCATTTTAAGAGTTCCAACTGGTCAAACTCTCAATTGCTTATTGAATCAGTAACTAGAGTTAGTCATCTTGTGTGCCTCCTTTTTTTTTTTTCAAGCTCAAAAATGGAAATTATTTTAATAATATTTTAAAGAAGAGCTTGAATACCGAAATCACATATTTTGTTATGTAAATTTGACAGAAGAGTCTCGTGTGTCTCCTTTTAAATGAGCAATTTATAAATGTCCCTGATATAACAGATACGAGAGTAGATCCAGAATTCAAGAGGAAAGGAGTGGCGAGTTAGTTCCAAAGAATCGAAGAGCCTCTATTAGCCACTTAATGAGTACATGAGCAAAGAGAAGGAAAAGCGCTCTTTGCATACATCTGCGCCTCTCAACTGCAGAAGAGCAGATAAAAAGTCATGACCGGCCTCTAGGAAGGCCAAGGTGAGAGGGAAAGACATGCAATGAGAGGCTGCCATAATCAGCTTTCTAACGGAGCACTAGACTTTCAATCAGGACACTTGTTTTTGTTTTTTAACACCTATTCTAACTGATATAGTATGTAAGTTGAGAGCTGATACAAAATGTATGCATATATTCCAAAACATCCTATAAAATAGCATGTAATTATGTTGAGTAATAACCATTATCTTTAGCAGTTAAACAGCCTAACTACTTTTAGCTTATATTTTTACGATCACCTGGTTAGATATGTGGTTTTTAGCCAAGGGACAGCCATGCTGCCAGAGAGCTTGGCAGCTTCTAAGCGAAAGATGAAAAGGCTGTAGATCTGTCCAACAATCTTAGCCTTTTGTAATTTAAATATTTTAAAATATATATATATATATATTGCATATTTTAAGATAATTATCAACCAAGAAGGTGGCAGGTGATACAGGTAGGGGGAGGAAGAGGTTGCATCACTCCATAGTTTAAAAAGGAAGCTTTCAGAGCACTCCTACCAGGACGTCCCACAGGACTGATGGACCATGTAGACAAAAATCCCAGGCCACATGTTTTCAAAAGGACCGATGTCAAAGTGGAATCTGAAATGAAAAGAAGGCACAGCTCATTCCTAAACACAATGAGTATGCACATAATAGGTAGGGACAGTAACTGAACATATGCTCTGTCTATCCAGAAACTAAAAGGACACAGGGAGTCCGGCCCTTTCTCAGCTGCCTTCTCAGTCATATTTCTGTTACATTTAAAGGTTTTCAGAAGGAAATTCCACACATTCCCTTAGGAACTTAGTCCAATATTGAAGCCATTGCTTAATTTTCTATTAAACAATCTGTAAGAAAAGGATGTTGTGGCTGTTACTAGAGCAATGAAAATGTACAAAAAAGTATATTATGAATATTACACATGTGGTACACAATTCATAGATTAGGGGAAAAAAACCTTATGGAAAAACTTTTTTAGAATTAAAACTTATTCTATCTCCTTCTTAAATCAGAAAAAAAATTTCATAACTATAAACATCCAAAGATATTACTTATTTTTTATTTGATAATTTAGTTAATAACATAACCCAAATCAACAGAATGGAACAGTATTAAAAGAAACCATTTTCCCCTAGTTACACTTCTGACATCAGATGTGTGAGTTTTCTACTCCAAGCAATTCTCCAGTCCTCTGCAGATACCAACTGACCTTCTACAGTTCAATTCTGACACTAGCTGGAGTGAGGACGCCCCACAGGTTAAGGGCTTGGTCCCACAAGTCTGACCCTCACTTTAGATGCACGTCCAGGCTACTGGGATTTCTGACCAGCCAGCTGTAAAGCACAGGTCCCTAAACCCCATCCTCAGGTTTGAGAATGTGTTCCAACAGCTCACAGAACTCAGGGACACACTTGGCTTACTACTTCCGGTTTCCTATCAAGGATACAACTCAGGAACACCGAAATGGAAGCGATGCAGCAGGCAGGGTCTGTGGGAAGGGGCACAGATCTTCCCGCCCTCTCCAGCATCACCACCTCCAGTACCTCGATGTGTTCACCAATTTGAAAGCTCTCGGAAGCCCTTATTTAGGCTTTTTATGCAGGTTTCATTACGTAGGCATGACTGACTAAACCACTGGCCTCTGGTGATTAACTCAATCCCCAGCCTCTCTTCCCTCCGGAAGGTCCTGGGGGGGGGGGGCTGAAAAGTCCAACACTCTAATCATGTGGTTGGTTCCTCTGGCAACCAGACCCCATCCTCCAAGAGTCATTTATTAGCATAAACACTTGTGTAGTTGAAAGAGGTTTATTATGACTAACAAGCCACCCCCTCACCCATATCATTCAGGAAGTTAAAAGGTTTTTTAGGAGCTCTGTGCCAGGAACTAGATAAAAGATCAAATATGTAAGTCTTTTTTATTATATCACCATATATACTATATATATATGCCATTAACAGATAAACTGAGGCATATAAAACATTTTAGGAGTTTATTTGAGGAAAAATAATTCTAAAAGGCAGCGCCAAACTGGAAGTGGTTCGGGTGGCAGAAGCCAGGGGACAGACTTACACAGAGAAGGTGCAGAAGCAAAGCAGGAAATGACTGGGTGGCGGGGCTTACGGCCAAGCGGCTGCCCGAGGGGCTGCCCTTAGCGTGTCCTGTCCTGACCTGACCCTGAGGCACTTGCAGGCTGAGGTTTGGGTTCCGCCACCTGGGCCACCTGGGCCTTGTGGCCTCCGTCTCACAGCCTCTTGTTTAATTTAACAACACTGTCTTCCCAATAATAAGGCGATTATCAGCTCTGGGTCACTTCTGAAGCTTTTCTATATAGTTAAATAGTGTAGGCTTGCACCTACAATGGGCATACAAATTATCACAGGTTCTATCAGCAGTAATTACATACTATGTTAGTACAGGATTAAAAAAGTGTGAAAGCTGAAGTAGTTATCACTAAATTCTCAAAGTCAACTTGTAAATTTAAACTGATACAGACATGAAAACGTTTAGCTATCGAATATTAAATGCTGTTTTGAATATTAAACATTATGTGGTGTGAAGTAAGCAAAAGACGAATGAGAAAAGCTAAAATTTAGGTTAATTCATTTCAAAATTATGCTGAGACTGGTTTTTCATAAGGTTATGTGATCCGGCCTGTATTCTTTCCTACGATTTGGGATCACCTCAGAAGGGGAAGATGGCACCGTGGACCTGAGAAGGTGGGTAGATACACGAGCAGGAGGAGAGACCCAGCCCGGGGTAGAAAGCCCCTGGCTGCAGCTCCCACTCGGTCCGGCCGCTGGCGGCTGGCCTCACTCCGGGCACCGAGCCTCACTGGCCGGGCAGGACTCACACGTGCCCCAGATCAAAGCGATGTGTTGTTAATACAGAGAAGGAAGACATCCCGCCCATCAGGACCACCTGAGTGAGCTTCTCAAACAAATCGCAAAAAGAAAATGGACAGAACTACCTTGAGAACGAAAAGGGAGCACAGGGCACCCAGCAGGAGAGAGAGAGAAGATGGGGGGCGATGCTGCGCACGGACATGAAAGCCCTCACACGACGTGGGGAGAGGCCTCCCCCGTGCTGGGATCGCTCTGCTCCACGTCCTAGATAGCATCTGCCTTTACTAGGAAACTTCTCGCTACCCCACACCTGCACAAACGCTGTCCCTCGAGAAGGCAAATTCACGACCCGGTAAGAAACCGCACGCGGAACACGGTGCCTGCGACCCTGCCTCCACCCGCCGTTTCTCGCGAGTCCCTCCCACCCGGCGGCCGGCAGCCCCGCAGGGCCGCCCCACGCGCGCGCGGGCCACTCACAGCTCGATGTCCTTGCAGAGCCGCGCAGGGAGGCTGAAGCGCATGAGGCCCTCCCACTCCTCGGCCGTGCACACGCTGTGGTAGGACAGCTTCTCCATGGTCACGCGGTAAATGTACTCCGAGTGGCGGATCCTGTGGTACATCTGGAAAGCAAGCCGGCAGATGAGCAGCAGGTGAAGGGCCGCGTGGAGCACGCGCGTCACCACGGCTCAGGGCCGGGCTCAGAGTCAGCGCGCGACGGGCCATGAATGGCCGCTCCCCCCGCGTCCGCGACCGCGCACACGGAGGGCGCCCACGCGCCTGACTGAGGACACAGAACGAGCACGTGGTGCAACATCCTACTTCCGTTCTAAAAGGCTTAGCAAGTTCTGTAACAAATGTCTTTTTCCCCGACGCTTTCTCAGGGCAGTGCGGCTGCTGAGCGTTTGTGAACCTTGGACTCCCAGCTCAGGAGCTATGAAAATAAACGCCTTTTTATAAGCGGCCCGGCCCAGGGGCTTTTGTTACCGCAGCCTGAAGGGACTAAGCGACCACACGAGTCCAGAGTTAGTTTTTCTATGCCTTACTTTTAAAAATATTTAGCTTGATTCTTGGTGACCTCAAAGTCCTCTAGTCCAGGAGTCTCTAAACTGATTCTGGGGAAGTCCTACGCTGGGAACAGAACCCTGGAACGCATGCCTGATGAAGGTACACGTGCTGTGCTAATACGTCACTCCTGGTACAAAATGCAAATGGAAAAAGAAACCTTTAAAAAGATAAAAAGATAAAATAAAAAGTATGCATTTTAAAAAGTTTATTTACTGAACAAGACTTTTTGTTCTTACTAACTATATAGATATTTTAAAATGAAAACACTGTGATTAAATGTTATCAAGTGTCAGGTTTTTCTGTTAATACTTTGTGAGATGGTGACGTTAATGCCTGGTTCAGTTTAATTTATTTCAATACTTAGGTTTTCAGTCATACTACTTGAGAAAAATATGCCAAAAAGTACACGGGTCCAAATGGAATAAGGTGTTCCTGGCTGTTCTTAAACATCCCACTTATAACTTTATTCCCTAACCACTAATATTTTGGGTTGAAATTCAGATACATTTCCATTTTCCCTGCAGTCAATCAGTTAATCCTGAAAAGTAATCAGTTGCATCTTTATTTATTATCAAACAGGTTCAAAATCAATGAAACTTTTCATGGAAAAATTTAATCAGTTAAAATCTGTTTCATAAAATAAAATCATAAAAAACAGTCAATTTTAAAGGAAGAAAGGAAGGCAAAAGGGAATAAAGACCAGACGGAATAGAGAGAAAACAAATAAAATCATGACAGATTTACACCTAAATGTACAATGTGCATGGTCTAAATACCCCAATTAAAAGGCAAAAATTTTCAGATTGAATAAAAAAAGCAAGACCTAACGTATGCAGTTAATAAGAATCCTACTTTAAATATAAAGACACAGATAGGGTAAAAGGATGGAAATGATATACCATTTAACACCAGTCAAAAAAAAGTTAAGAGTGTTTGTATTAGTATCAGATAACCGATTTCAGAGCAGACTATCACCAGGGATAAAGAAGGTTTTTCAAATGATAAAGGGGTCAGTCCATCAAGAGAACGTAGTAGTTAGTCCTAAACAAGGATGTGGAGTCAAGACAGTGGGAAACGGGGAGCCTGTGCAACAGACGGTGCTGGGACAACTGGGGAGCCGCATGTAAAATGAATGAATGAACACATGAACGAAGGAACAAAGTTTAATCCTCACCTTGCATCATATATAAAAACGTACTCAAAATGGATCATAGATCTGGATGGAAAACATAAAACTATAAAGCTTCTAGAAGAAAACAGAGGAAAAAACTGCTATAATACTGGCAGCATGGTCAGAAAAGGAAAAAGAGACAAATTGGATTTCTTTAAAACTAAAACGGTTCTCAAACATAAACAAGACAAGCCAACACTCAAAGCAAATATGTGCAAGGAACCCGTCTGATAAATGACTTGTATCTAGAATACAGCAAGAACTGTCAAAACTCAATCAGAAAACAAATAATCACAAATGAAAAATGGGTGAGCAATTTGAAAAGACACTTCGCCAAAGACACAGAGATGGCAAACGGCAGAAATTGAACACGCACACGGCATTGGGAACGTGAAGGGTGCAGCCAGGGAAACAGTCTGGAGGTTTCTAAACAGTGAAAGAGCCCGAGCACAGGACCCAGCCTTCCCAGGGGATGGGAGCGCATGTCCATTCAAGGATGTGCACACAGACACTCACTGCAGCTCCGTCTGCAAGGGCCCGAAACTAGGAACAACTCACATGTCCATCAGCAGTGACTACGCAGACTGTGGTAAATCCACACAGGGAATACTACTCCATAATGAAAAGGAACGGACTGTTTATACACGTGATGCCATGGGTAAGTCTCAGAACAATCACACTGAATGAAAGACGCCAGACAGAAAGGAATACAGATTTTATGATTCCATTTATATATAACAATTCTAGACAATGCAAAGCAATTTATAGTGACAGAAAGTCACTATACCCCAAACTGGGGAGATGAAGATGGGGAGGTTCATGAGGTAGAGGGACACATGGAAACTTGTGGGGGTGATGGGTACTGTTATCTTGACTGTGGCGATGGCCTCATGGGGGGGGGGAGTGTATGCACACGTATCAGATTGTACACTCTATAAACTTATACACAAGTAACTTCAAACCCAGGTAATGCCTGTCTCTCCCAGAAGCAACCCTGGCACAGGGCAGAGTCAGGGGTGAAGGCAGCACAGGGGGTGTGGAGCCCCTGAATGCATTCAGACCCGGGCTCCATTACACACCTGCTGTGTGAACTGCAGCAAATTACTTCAACTTTGTGTGTCCATTTTTTTATGTCAATGGGAAAAACCACCACCTCATTCAAGATTGTTGTGAGACTCGGAGTGAGTTTTCCTGGGTAGAGGGTGCTGAGCAGTGCGTGCTGCCAAGTGAGTGTCCTATCAAATGACAGCAGCCACCAGTCTGCTCACCCAATGCGCTACCTCAGGTGCAGAAAGGACACTCGGTACTTGGTACTGAATTCAGGAATGAATGAATGTGTCCCTAGCCCACTGGCTTCCTCCTAACAATGATTTTTTTTCTACTCCTTTAATGTTAAATGTCTTCAGATCCAAAATGTACAGAGCTAATTCATTTTAAAGGACTCCTTTTTCTAGGCAAAATATGTAACAGGTATTACTAACATGGTAGCTTTTTGAATCACACCTAATTGTTTCTTTGAAATCATAATATGTAGGAATAACTTAACTGACTGTTGTAGTTTAAAAGCCTCTTCCAATCTTTTGAAATTGGTATCTTTCCAGTGACAGTACTAGCAATTATCTGCTAAAAGTACAATGCGGATGTTGATCAGAAACCTGGCCCTTAATCCAATAAAAGTGGTGTGATCTAATGGAAGTACAAATGAACAAAAGAATAAAGGCATAGAGTGTTTATATGACCGCGTGCCATGTCTGTGGACAGGCCTCTCAGTCAACGAGACCACTGGCCAAGCGACAGTAAAATGTGCTGTAACATTATCACACTCAGCACTAGAAGCACCTTTCCTATAGGAAACATGACCTTATTACGGACACAATAATTTGTGCAAGCGCAGAAATAGTCTGAATCTCCCAGGACCGACACGCTTAGCCTGATGTGAAAGTAGCCGCCAACTGCCAGTAGCGCTCCGTCCTGCACGAAGCTTCCCATGCTGATAAGCGGACTAAGTGCGTATGTATCTTCTCTGGAAACAAGGAGAATGCTGAAGGCAAGGCAGGTAGCCTGCAGGTGCGACTGGCAGCTTGGGACAGTGCTCACTAGAGGCGGATTTTCCTAATTCCATGTGATGCTTGGGAGAAACACGCTCCACGTGGCGAAACAAACCTGTTCAGAGAACACGGGAACTCTGGCTGGGCCTCTGCCCGGATGCCCCATGGACGGACATTCTCAGCTGAGGGGGGCGCTCAGCAACCCCTCGCTAGAGACCAGCTGCTACCTCACTGAGCCTGACACAAAATGGGGAGCAGTTTTCTTTTATATTCAGAAGGATGCTGCTCACTCTTGCACAAAGCAAGAAGTATGACTTGAAAGAAGACATGGGAAGTGGCTTTTTCTGAATTGGAGCAGTTGTGAGATAAGCCCAGCTCCAGCTCCTCCTCAGCCTGGGACGCCCAGGAAGGGAAGCTGCACGGTGAGAAGCAGTTATTCTTCTTGAGCTGGAGAAACTGTCAAGACAATATAATTTCTACAGGCTTTAATGAGGAGAAGAAACACGCAGTTAAAAAAAAAATGGTAGCAAACTCCACAGAGAGCTGAAGCTTCATTACATCGGTTTCAGCATGTACCTTCGAGGCACCCGGCCCTGGGTCCACTCAGCCCGAGGGCAGGAGAGCTTCACGTCCAGGGCCTGTCAGCCAGGGGCGGACCTGACACGGCCGCTGGCACACACACTACCTGTCACGGTTGGGAGCAGAAACAGTTTCGCAGTGTTTAGAGAAACTGCAAGTCATTTCCAATTTCAACTAATTCCAATGATTTCGCCCTAAGTAATTTACCTAAAAGAATCAATGCACAAACAGAATGCCTATTAACTTACTCATGACTTTCTGAAAAAGTGTTATTTCTACCATTTCACTTTAGTATTTGGTTTGGGACAATCATGTGGTTGCGACTGAACCCAGGTTTTATGACGCAAAAATCGTGGAACAGAAAAGCTTTGAACTCGCTGGACGAGCTCCTCTAATAACACAGTTAAATTAACTCAGTAGTGTTTAAATTGGCATTTACATATTCTTGGAAATACAATCATTCTGCACAGGATACACAGAAACATGATAGATTTTAAGAGGTTCAATTTCTACTTCCTTCACTTTCACACATACCCTTACCCCATATGAGTGTTGCCTATCTCTCCTGTCAACATAACCCCTTCCTCAATTTCTGTAATACAAAAACCTCTCCAAACAAAGGGACAATTTAAAGTATTGGTCTAATAGTGTTTTCTAAAGTTTCCACAAAACATTAAAGAAACAGCCCTAAATAAATTTTCAGTGAATAGATCATTAAAAATAATTTTTGGTGATGGAACAATCAGTATTTTTTGGCATCTTAGCTCAGGTGGAGTTCAATTTAGAAAAAACTACTATATATTTGTTTTAATTATAGTTGAGATACACAATGTAAGGTACAGCATGGGAATACCGTCGATGGTATTGTGAAAGCTATGTACAGTGTCAGAGAGGCACTAGACTCATTGGGGTTACCGCTTTGTGAGGGGTGTAAATGTCTAATCATTATGTTGTCTTGTACACCTGAAACTAAAACAAACAAACAAACAAGAAAACTTCTGTAATAAAACTCTTCCTGCTCCCATCTACTAATGAATAAAGGCAACTCTTATGTCTTCCTTAAACACAGAAAGGACAAGGAGGCACAGAACTGATGCCGAATCACGGGAGCCAATTTTCTCGATGTCAAACAACAAAGTTCCAAAGATGGGAACGAGACGCTAGGAGGAATTCTGTGGTGTTAGATTGTAGGTCTAACTATGTACCTCAGAGAGAGAAAGAGAGTATGGATAGAGACTTATGTGTCCACTCTCTCCTGAAACAGTGGAAAGGGGAGGGCATTTCAGTGGAGGAGCCCGGCAGACGCCGCCTGAACTGGGTGCGAAGAGTTAGCATTACCAGTCATGGGAAGTGCCTGCCTGTAGAGATGTGATAACAACACATCAGTCTGTGATACTCCTGTCAAAGTTAGAACTTTAAAAGAATCACGAGGAAACACCAGACAAAACCAAATTAAGAAACACTCTATTGAAGGACTGGACTATGTGTTTCAAACATACCCAGGCCATGAAAGACAAAGGGTGAGGAATGGTCCCAGATTACAGGAGGCTAAAGAGGCCTAGAGATTAGATAAAGTACCTACTAGGGGCTGAACCGTGTCCCCCAAATTCAGATGTTGAAACCCTAACCCCCAGTACCTCAGAATGGGATCGTAATTATAGATGGGCCTTAAAAGAGGTCATTAAGATAGAATGAGGTCAGCAGGGCGGGCCCTGATCCCATGGAACCAGGGTACGTATATGAAGAGATCAGAACACAGACACGCGTGACGACGGACTGTGTGAAGACACAGAGAAGGAGGCCGCCTACAGGCCAAGAGAGAGGCCTCGGGAGACTACCTGGACTTCCAGTCGTGTGACCCATGCAGCCCTAACAGACACGTACAGTACCAACGTGAGTGTCTTGGTTCTTTAAGTCAGGTAGTGGAAGAATAAGATGGAAAATGGAAACCAAAGTGTTTAGTGGTTATAAGACATTTTGTCTGAACCATTCTCAAATATGTCAGAGAAAGATGGTCTCTAGAATGAGAGTGAGGAGAAAGAAAGAATTATCAAAGCAAAAATGGTGACATAGTAACATTTGGGGAGCATGGGTAAAGGTAAAAGGGAATTAATTCTTTGTTCAATTTTTGCACCTTTGCTGTCTGAAATTTTTTTCAAAATAAAAAGTGTAAAAAATTTATGCTAAACCTAGTTTCATTCTAATAGGTAATATTTATGAATGAGTATATTAACTATTTTTGTTTTAAGCCATAGCCATCTTATTAAGAAATAATAGTTTCCAATAATTTGTACTTTTTAATTTGGTAATTATCAAAATTTCACAACATGGTTGCTTCGATCACATATATAAGGCTCATGTAATATACTAATATGACATATATACTACCAAAACCCAAAATTAATTTTTAACACTTATTATAAATGTTTGTTTTAGAATATTATCTTAGGGTAACTAACAAAATATTTAAAGTGTAAATATGGTATATTAGAATAAACTATCGTGGCATAATAGAAATACATGTTCGGAGCGAGAAAACAATGATGTTAGATCTTCCAATCAGAAGAGCCTGTCATAGCACTTTTTAAATGGACTGTACAGGTATCAAGATGTTATAGCACCTGGATTCCACAGGACTCATTTAAAAAGTGATGACAATCAACATACAGAATATACTGGAAATTACCTTCTCTGCAACTTTTAATGCTTAAAGCAAAAAAATATTTGACAATTGTGTTAGTTTATTTCCAATGAGCTAATAAATGTTCTCAAAAGCGGGCCCCATGGTGATACAAAGGGAGGACGGGCGCTGAATTACAAATGCTTATCTGTAATCACTAGATACTATTTTTTGCCATTTTTGTTCATAGTCATCACTCAACTATTTCCATTCATGATAAGGTTACTCCTGTGGAACTTTGTTCTATTCCCAAAAAGGCCATTCCTCTAAACGATTAAGGTGGTAAGTAACCCTTAAATTGATTGAGCTTAATAAAGAGGTTACTAAAATTTTCCCTAACTTCAAAATTCCAGTAATGTCACTAGAGTTTAGAGAACATAAAATTTTCAACTCATTTAAAATAGAAACAGTGATAAATCCAACTGCTTTAAAATGAGACTTCGTAAAATAAACAGAAGCTCACTTTATTACTCAGTAAACAGGGCAGGACTGCGGTGAGAATTAAATGAGTAGCACCTACAGCACATCTGACAAATGTGCTAAGCAGCTGCCTCCCTTTTCCTCACAGAGAAACTTTTCTGGTTGGTGCTAACTATGAGTTGTTACTGCTTTTGTCCCAGAATCTCAGGTGCAGCACACACGACAAACCAGCAGGGTTTAGAAGACATTCTCCTTATGCATTTCAGGAGGGACTGTGAAATAGAAACCTTATGCTTGAACATTTTACCTTTATTTAACTTCATGTTTCTATTTTACAAATTCACACCTTGAAATAAATGCAAACTATTAGGAGATTTGATCTCTTCCAATGCATTTTAAGGCATTTTCTAAACTCTGTGCCACCAGGCATCACTGTTTCCGATTTACCACGGAATCCTAAACAGGAGAGAAAGCCTGACACTCCCGGACCACAGGCGCTCACATGAACAGGGAGCGGAGGCAGGGTGGCGGGGACTCACTCACATTGGCGCAGTGCAAGGCGAGCGCGCAGAAGACGGCGAACATCTTGAAGTTGTTCTCGTCCGTCTTGGAGAAGGCGCTGCCGCTGATCTTGTTCACCATCTGCACCACCCCGATCACGCTGCCCCGGCTCACGATGGGCATGCACAGGATGTTGCGCGTGGTGTAGCCCGTGTACAGGTCCACCTCCCTGCGCCAGGTGCAGGAGCGAGCGGCATGGAGGAAGAACCAGAAGCAGATGAGCTACGCGTCCTAGCAGCAGCCTCCGCTCAGTTCTGTGGTTCACGTGCTGCTATTACAGATACTATCACGGAAGGTTAGCATCTACATTCAAGGACGATGTGGCGAAGTGTTTTAGCAAAACCTTTACAAAGATATGCTGACCAATTTGTTCTTTTGTTTTCAAGAGAGTTTTTGAGAACAGTGTCTAGGAGGCTTTCAGCTTGTTGTTCGATTTGAGTTCCAGCATTACTACGAAAATACAAGCTGTGGATTCAGAGAAAGCTATCATAAATTTGGGACAGTAATGTGTTCCTTTGAATGTGGTTATCTCTATGAGCAATGGAACCTGCTTCCCAGGCCTAAATGGCAGCGATTACTCAAAAGCTCAGCGCGGGGGTTGGCAAACTACCCTTCGGCCACACCAGCACTCTCCGGTTTTTACACTGAGCGTGGATGGAATAGGACCATGTGGGTCCTTCAGGAAGTGCCACCACCCGGCAGGAAAGACATCAGCCTATAAAGCCAGAAGTGCTTCCTACCTGGTCCTGACTAGGAAAGGTCCTCTAACTCTGATTCAGGAGAAACAGGTTTTGAAAACAAGACCAGTTCCACCGAAGCCACCACAGAACTGAAGGGAGCCAGCGGGGTGGCAGTCCAGTGCCCGTCTCCTCTCCCCGAGCCTTGTGTTCTGGGGTACACCCGTGCTGCTGGGGCCAGGGCTCAGCCCTCCTGAGTGCTGAGTAGTATTTATGGTGTGGATGCATCACAATATACCCACTCACCAGGTAACGGACATTATTATTTGGTAACAGCCAATTTGGGGCAATTATGAATAATGCTGCTTTGAAGGTTTGCATACATCTTTGTGTTTACAGATGTTAGCATTTTTTGTGGAGAGATACTTAAGAGTGGAGTTGACTGAGTATGTGCTTAAATTTACAAGAAACAGAGAAACTGTTTGCCAAAGTGGTGGTACCATTACACGCTCCCATCGGCAAAGTGTGAGTGTCCTGGTTTCTCCACATCCCTGCCAGCCCTTGCTAATGTCAATCTTTTAACATTTTAGCCTGAATTCAGGTTGGTATGTAGCGGTGTGTCATTATCAATTAAATTTACATTTCTCTCATGTCAAACATCTTGTCACGTGTTTAATGTTGTGATGTGTCTGCTAAAATCTTGTGCCATATTTACTAAATTGGTTTACCTTATTATGCTGGAAGAGTTGCTTATGTATTCCAGATATAACTATTTTGTCAGATATATGTTTTGTAAATATTTTCTCACAATCTGTTACTTGCCTTTTCATGTTCTTAATAGTTGACCCATATATTTTTATATATAGGTGTTGTATAAGGATATATAAATATTTTCAATATTTAAGCACTAAAGTAAGAAGTTTGATTTTTTTAAAAAAAACTGACATTTTTCAGTATGTCCTTTACTGATAAAACATATTACTAGGATATATCTGTGTTTATATACAAGATGCGCGCATCTGACAAATACCCGATAAATCTTCCTATTACTTATGTTATTTAACTATATTTTAAAATAAACCAAATGTTTGCACTAATTGGATATTGTGGTCAAAATATCTCAACTATTAATCCCTAAGAGTCATGGCATCAATCCTGAGACTCAATTTCTAGAGATTACAATCACATTTATATAATTTGGTTTCTATTGATAGTGCTCCAAAGAAACTCTAAACAAAACAAAATCTCTGTAAACCATCCAAATCCAACTTTCGTAATGTTATATTTTATGAAAGCTGCAACGTTTTGATTTCCCACTTTGTGTGTCATGTAAAGCTGACAGGCATTTTATAGATATTTTATCTAATCTTAAAAAACAACCAAACTACAAAATAGGCATTACTGTCCCCATTTTAAAGATGAGGAAACTAAGGCTCAGAGAGATGAAGTCAGTTACTCCAGATCACTCTAGAACTAATAAATGACAGAACAGGGATTCAAAAGTAGGTACTTTTATCACTATGTGTTATAGCCTTTTCGAATATGCTTTGATGGAAAATATGCCCAGGACAAATGATGACACTATAATAAGAGAAAGCAGCTTTATAAATTTAAACTATTGCTTTTTTGTTGCTTTTATATTTTAAACTCCTAGAGCCGGATATCATTAATTCTTAGTATCTGTCATTTGATAAATCTCTGAAAACACTGACTACTGATAAGAGAGTTGGTTCAAAGAAAGTGTAACAGCACCAAGGAGTGGGGAACAGGTTGAGTCGGGATGTGGAGACTAGGGGCTCCACTGCAAGGGTGGCAGCTGAGCAGGACCAGAGGTGAGAAAGGAGCGGAGGACGCTCGCTGCTTTTTACCTGTTAAAGCGTGGGTCCGCATAGGCATCTGGAATGTTCAGGACTTCCCCTGTTCTTGCTACTTGACCAGCAATTCCTTTCTCAATTGAAAATCTGCACATATAAAAGACAGGGACAGGGTAATTAAAATAAAGATTGTAAAATAATTTGAAACATTTCACTACTGCCAAATACCAAATGAAAAAGCATGCTGCATTTTAAATGCTTGCATTAACTTTACATTTACATACTCTAAATCCTCTTATTATTATAAAATATGCAAATATAAAGCAGAAAAACATCGCACAGAAATCACTTGGGAACCCTGTTTTAAGATGTACCGTAATTCACGATCTATAAATTGTCCTGAGTCACAAATTGATATTGAAAAATTAACTGGCATTGTCCTGGACTGAGCAGTAATCTTTATGTTTGCAAAGTGCCTTATAATTTACAATATGCTTCAACATAAATTTTCTTAATTAATTCTCACTGTGGTGTGAACTGAGGCTCCTATGCGTTCAGCAACTTGCTGAAATTCCTAAAACTTCAGTAGCACAATCAAAACAAGAATGCATGTCTGCACTGGTTACTTTCTACCACAAACATAACCAAATTCACAGGTCACATCTGGTCTCCAGAGACATACAAGACGATACAGGACTGGAGTTTTAAGGCATTTGCAACACAAATGCTTCATAAAAATAACACAGTTGACAACTTCTGGTATTTTTACTTCTTTAATTTGTTAAATTTAAAAACAGTCAAAACACAAGCATTATTTGAACATAATTATGTTCTGATATCTAGTATCAGCATTTTCTATTATAAATACACTCTCATATTTAGTTTTTCATTACAATATCATCAGCCATGCACTCATTTTGAAATTTAGTTAAGAAAAGATGCCTAAAATCCATAATACCTACATAATTCAATAGCTGAAAAATAACATCCATAATATTACATTTTCAACATAATAGGAGATAATCATTACTGAAATACAGCTCCAGCCTAAGGGTTTCCCCAAGGAAAATTTGAAAGATAACTGATACAAACACTAAAAACTGAACCCAACACTGCATACAATCAAGGTCGTTGTCACCCTGGCTTTCCTGTGCTTTGAACAACAGGAACACAGAAGGCAGAGTGCCCTGAGCAGAGTCCCAGAGCCCACGGCAGGATCCGTGCGTGGTTTCTTGGCGTGAGGGCAGTCTGGCTGGACCCATCCCAGCTCTCTGTGGTTTGTCTTCTCTGGTCAGCGGACGCCGTAATTAGCGGCAGCCCTTACATAAATGGCTGGCATCGGCCAGTCGGCTCGGAGCTCTGGCCAGCCCCCTGCCCCTCACTGTGTTTCCCAGGCTTGTGAACACAGGCACCAGTTATTATCTTCCAAAGGAGATCAACACCAGCACAGTTAGGGAGCACTCGGCTTTCAGCAAGAGAGATGACTTGACCTACATGACTATATCCAGACTGGTTTACTGAGATCTAAAAAAACCAACCAACCTGAAATAGAACAACTAAGAAAAAAATAACTAAATCGTGCCTGAGTCAGAGCTCTGTGAGTGTGGAATGCAGGGTCTATCAGCCTGGGATGCTGGCGCAGGGAGTGCCCAGTGGGGGGCAGTGGGGAGGCCCGGTACCATGGGACCACCGTTTCTGTCCTACCTGGTGACTTCCTTCACGTAACAGAGGCTCGAATGAATAGAAAGGTTTTTTTGTTTTTTTAAATTAAAGCTTATTGGGGTGACAAATGTTACTAAAGTTACATTCTGTCATAAGAAAAGGTGAAAAAGTACCATTTGCGACAACATGGATGGATCTTGAGATTATTTTTGCTAAGCGAAACAGCGAGTCTTAATTAATTAATAAGGAAGAGTGCTTTCCTAAATTGCTGTAACTACCACAACACTTTAGAGCTAAACAAGACCCATAAAACAAAAGGAATGCCAATGTCTAAAAGAAATTCCATTTTTGAATGTTAAGCTTGATTCTCAAGAGTTCTGTGACAGTGCCCCTTGTAGGTGTTCAGACTGTGACACGATGGAGCCACCATGCTTCTACCAGCCGAGCAAACTCCATTCTGTTCATTTAAGCGACAAAAGATGCCATTTATAGAATGAAGAAGACTTCAGTTTCGAGATGCAACAGAAGCGTAGTATGTGATGGACTCAGTCAGCTGCTCAGTTACAGGATAACGTGCTGACATCAGCGAGTCCAGCCGGCCAGCTCCCACCGTGGCCTGGACTGAGACAGCCCAGCTGGCTGGGGAGGCCCGGGCGCCGGAATGTGTAAGCACACCCTGCTCCTAAGCCCAGGAAAACCTGCAGACGCCAGGTGGGCGCACCTTTACCTACCTGGGAGCACTAGTAAGGTTTTCCAACATGATTTCCAAAAGGACCGCCTCCGGAAGACGGCATTTCCAGGAGTGACGCCAAAGCCTCCTAGGCACGGTTTCGCGGGCACTGCAATGTCATTCCCAGAAGTACTACCTTCAGGAGGCGGGTCCTGGTGGGAATGATATCACAGTATGACAAGGACTGTCAGCACACCTGTGAACGGGCACAGAGAGGTGGGTCACAGAACACCTGCACAGCTGCGGGCATGGTGCCCGGGGTCCCCTCCAGCTGACCTGATCTCTTTGGTCTTCTTGAAGATGGGCTTTCCTTCCTTCTCCTCTCCAATATCAAAGAGGTCCGAGTACAGCTCCTTGTTCTTATGGTCCACCTGGAAAAGCGCACAACGGTCTGCGTTCACCAGGTTTTTTGCATATATCTAAAAACAAACCACAACACAAGAGTGAGCCAATGAGAAATTCAAAGTGTACTTCATCAGAAAGAAATATTCATTTCAGCAATTCAATAATTAGGTGGGAAATTAGCATTATAACTAACTAACTAACTAAAGGAATATAGGTACAAAAACTATACATAAGTCACTGCTACTGAACCAACACTGGGAGATGCCATTCACGCCATGATGCTGGATGTTAAAATACAGTTGACCTTTGGGCCGGCTGAGTGGCTCAGTTGGTTAAGAGCTCGCTCAAGAGTTTGAGCTCTGAGCAACAGCGGTTCGAGTCAGCCCGAGCTGAGCAGCCGTGAGCTGCCAACAGGTGGCGGGATGGCTCGGCTAAAAAAAAAAAAAATACAGTTGACCTTTGAACCAACCCCAAAACAGTCGAAAATGACGTATTAACTTTTGATTCCCCCAAAACATAATTATACCAACTGTCCCTGGGTATCTGCAGAGGATGGGTTCCAGGACTCCTTGCAAACACCAAAATCCACGGATGCTCAAGCCCCTAATAAAACGGTACAGAGACCAACGCACACAGTCATCCCTTCGTGTCCACAGACTCCCAGTCACGGATTGATAACAGTACAGATGTTTATTGAAAAAATCTGTGTTTAAGTGGACTCAGAAACTACTGGGAACAGACTTCATCAGGATATGAGATCAAAATAAAAAAGTCAATTTTATGTCTATACATTTTCAATAAAAATCTGAAAATAAAATTAAGAAAACAATTCCATTTATAATAGCATTAAAAATAAAATACTTAGGAGTAACTTTACCGAAATCAGGGCAATAGTTACACTCTGAAAATTATAAAACATTGTTGAAAAAAATTAGGATGACCTAAATAAGTGGAAAAATTCCCCATGTTCACATACTGAAAGAGAGTATTGTTAAGAGTGCTCCCCAAATTGGTCTACCAATTAAACAAAATTCCTATCAGAACCTGAATTCTGAATTCTTTGTATAAATTGACAAACTGATTTCTAAAATTTGTATGGAATTGCAAGTGACCCCAAAACAACCAAAAAATATTGAAAAAGAAGAACAAATTTGGAGGACTCACATCACGCTTCCTGATTTCAAAACTTCCACAAAACGACAGTAATCAAGAGTGTGTCACTGTCTTTAAGATTAAAAGATCTTTTTTTTTTTTAGCTGAGTCATCCTGCCACCTGTTGGCAGCTCAGTGGCAGCTCAGCTCGAGCCAGGAATCGAACCAGCGACCCTGATGCTCAGAGCTCGCGCTCTTGAGTGAGCTCTTAACCAACTGAGCCACTCAGCCGGCTCGTATATTTTTATATAGATATAAAAATTCTAATGACATAGCATTGAGAGTCCAGGAATATAACCTACGTGCCTATGCTCAACTGGTTTTTGACAAGACTATTAAAGGGGAAAGAATAGTCTTGTCAACAAACGGTGCTGGTCAAACTGGGTACCCACACGCAAAGAATGAAGTGGGACCCTTACATCATATATAAAAATTAACTAGCATGGATCAAAACCCTAAATGTAAAAGCTAGAGCTATAAAACTCTTAGAAGAAAATACTATATTCTCGTCATCTCTGATTTGGCAATGGCTTCTCAGATATTACACTCCAAGCATGATGAGCAACAAAAGACAGAAATAAATAACTGGGTTTCATCAAAATAAAACCATTTTGTGCTTCAAAAGATACTATCAATAAAGTAAAAAGACAATCCACATATGCGAGAAACTATATTCCAGTCATGTAGCAGACAAGGGACTTGTATCTAGAATATATGAAGGACTCTTATAACTCAATATAAAGAACAGGGACTCAATTAAAAAGCAGCCAATGGGTCTGAATAGACAGTTCTTCAGAGAAGGCATACATATGGCCAAAAGCACTTGAAAAGATGTTTGAGATCATTAGTCACTAGAGAAACGCCAATAAAAACCACACTGAGGTGGCATTTCACATCCACTATAATGGCAGCATCAAAAAGTCAGATATAACCAGTGTTGGTGAGAATGTGGAGTAATTAGAACCCATGTGCATTGCTGGTGGGAATGAAAAAAGGTGCGGCTGCCTTGGAAACCACTTTGGCTGTTCCTCAAAAATTAAACATATATATATATATATTTATCCTATGATCCAGCATGTCTACGCTTACGTTTATACCTGAAACAACTGTAAACAGGTATTGTACACGAATGTTCAAAGCAGCAGTAGTCACATTAGGCAAAATGTAGAGATAAGCCAAATGTTTATCAGCTGATGAAGAGATAAAAAAAATGTGGTATGTGTATCTATACAACAGGGTATTATTGGGCAATTAAAAGGGAATGAAGTGATGACACAAGACAACATGGAGAAACTTTGAAAACGTTACACTGAGTGAAAGATACAGGCACAAAAGGCCACGTGTGACATGATTCCTTTCATGTGAGATGTCTGGAATAGGTAAGTCCATAGAAGAAGAAAGATTAGTGGCAGTTTAGGACTGGGATGGGGGTGGGTTGGGGCACAAGGAGGTGAAGGGTAAAAATGGGATGTCTTTTTGAGGTAATGAAAATGTTCAAAAATTGACTGTGATGGTTGCCTTTATCTGTGAATATACTAAAACCACTGACTTGAACACTTTAAGTGGATGAGTAGTAGGGTATGTGAATTATATCTCAATAAAGATGTTTTTAAAAAGATAATATTAATACCAGGACTAGTAAGTGTTTCTTATACTCCAGCACAAGCTCTGTCAATACGCATTATATCTTTATAGTTTTATAGTCTTCTTCATATTTTTCATGCTTCACAAATTCCTTAAGTTCTAGCATAACCAAGTAAGCTATTTTTATTGCTCAATCAAGTGTCCTATTTTTTTTCCACATACAACCATCAATATAACTAATTATATAAAGACTGTGTTGGAAGTAACAAGCCTGACTGTTACTCGCTAATCACCCTTAGTAAGCTTTCTGCCTCCACAGACCCTGACCATGTCACACCCCATTCTCGCTGGCCATGAAATCAAAGAGAAACAGGTCAGTGCACACCATGACACCCGGAGATGAGGCAATGCCTCACCAGGATTACTATTGGGTTGTCGGCAAAGTCATGACACATTTTTTCTTTGTTTTTCGTTGCAAAAATGTATCATGACTTTTCCGACAACCCAATATATTTTAGGAAAAGCTACGAAAATGGCAGGCAGAAAGACATCTATCACAATACCCACCAGGGCACGAAAGGCACCCAGCAGGCCTGGCCACAGGCGCGTGCGCGTGCGGGGACACACACACACACACACACACACACACACACACACACACACACACTGCCGAAGCCACCTGGTCAGTGGACTGTCGCCAGAGCCCCAAAGCAGCCACGCGGGGAAACGGGATCAAACCCCACTCTGTCCGGCCATCTGCTCCGCGTGCCTGCTGGTCCTCCAGAAGACAGGGATGAATAGGGCTCAAACTATGGAGGCTTAGCGATCACATCAGCTGGGAATTCTCAACACAGCCTATGTGCAAGGGTATTTTGGAGAATATATAAAGAAACTAAATGTTTTCAAGGTGTATCTCACCACTAAATAATGAAAATGAGATATCTTTCAAAACGTTATTCAAAACTCTCCAAAGTTAATAGAAGTGACCAAAAAAATCAAGGCGATATCTCCAGGTCACTAAGTGCCACCTTTTCACGTATTGGAAACAGCGTGTATCTCTAACACACTGAAATGTCCACCCTACGTCAGGACACGAGCATGCAATGTGACAAACAGATGATGTATTACAGAACTACACGCTTGAAGCCTATGTAACTTTACTAACCACCATCACCCTGATAAACTTTTAATAAAATAAATAAATATAAAAATGAAAAAAAATCATTTTCAAAACAAAAGGCAACTTACCATTATGTGTTCAAGTAGAGAATCTATGGCGACTATGTTATCAAAGTACGTTCTGAAAAAAAAAACATAAAACCTGTAAGGAATCTTGTTTAGAACACAGAACATATTAAACTATGAATATGTTTCCCAGTTATGTCTACATTTAAATAAAAACCATAAAGTTCTATGTCTGTTTGATTTTTGTCCTCTCGTGGAAACAACCAATAATATTATTTTAAAGGGATGAATGAAACTTTATCATTGACTATATTATGAGGGCTCTAATTTCAAAGGATGCATTAAGTAACTATTTTATTGATAAGTACTGACGTAGGACGTTTGTAGCATTTAACTAAAACTATGGAGTATAAATAGGGTTCCCCATATTTAATATTTTCATTAATAACTTTGATCTGAACTAAAAATATTTAAACTTGGCTAAATCTCATTAACATGGTTAAAATATAAATTATCACTGAAAAACTAGAAAGTTAAGATGTAGTTTAACTGTACTCAGAAAGCAATGCAGTTCATTTCAGAAGAAACATGAGAACACAAGTAATACTAAGGACCTTGTGACTTTACATAGTGAAACAGAGGATGAACAGCAAGTAAGTAGTTTGGAGGCATCTGGCACATACATTAAAATGCAAACTTGATAAGCAGATGAACCAACTGGCGTGTATTCTAGGAAATGCACAAAGAAGTGCTCTTAACACAGGCTCTGTTGGCAAGGTGCTGCTTTCAGTTTGGGTGTGTGTGCTTTAGGACTGGACTCCTAATTAGGATGATGTCCAGCAACCAACGATGCCTCTCCTTCACAGGCAAACTGCTCAGCTGGAATGCGCTGAGCCCAGGACATGCTAATTACCCCGGGCACTGAGGAGCACGCTGCCAGGAAGGTGGGAGAGCCCATGGGTTTCCCGCTGCGGAACAGACGCAAAGTCACATGCGGGATTCAGTCGGGCTTTGGAAGATACTCAAACACATTAACAAGGAAAGCCGAACAGCTTCTCCATCTACGTTCACTTCTGTCTCAAAGGGGATCAAAAGCGAGCTCTCAGTTCCGTGTTGGTCTAACTTCACACGGCAGAAAGCGAGCACAGCACCCAGCAGCAGCGGCAGCCGACCAGCCACGGGTGTTAAGCGTGGCCGATGAGTTAAGTGGAAGCGCTACCGGAGTGGGAGGAGAACATGCCCGGGACGCTGCGGCGGCCGGGCAACAACAGGCACATCCTGCGGTCCTTGCAGGCCGTGGCCGTGAAGGTGCCACACCTGGGACAAGGTCAGGGATCAGCAACTAAGTCGATGGGTCAGATATGCAGATCCCCCGTCCAAGCAACACCAGGATGAACCTGGAGTTTCTCAGTGTCTGTCACAGCCTCCACTGCCAGCCCAAGGGAGCATTTCCATGTCAAGCTCCAGGGAAATGGGACATTTTCTGTGAAATGGTTATCTGAGCTATTATACATGGGAAAATTAAAATATTATTATCAACAATAAGTTTTAATTTACTGACATTTGTAGAAAATACCAGAGAGGACTTTGGGGGAAACTCAGACATTTCCTCTCTTTCTCCTGCTGTCAGTTTTCTCCCACAAAAACAGAAGCACTGGTGTCTCTAACGTGGGCTAGTGAGTCTGCTTAGGAAATACATGCCAAGCTGCAAACCAAGGGCGTCACACACGCATCTTCAGTCCTTCACTTAAAGTGCACGTGGAGGGGGCGCAGCTCTACGTCCAGTGTTCTCTCCTGCGGCTGGCAGAGGGAGCTGCTGACCTCAGCAGGTGTGTCACTGTCCCCATCCGGGCTGCACCACTGACCAATGAAGCCACCACATCCTACAAACAGACACTTACTTTGACACATCGAGCAGAAAGTCGTTCAATTCAGTCTGTTTGGCAAGGCCTCTGCATACCTGCCACACAAAATAATGGCTATTAATTAATTAGAAGAGGTTTTTGCTTATTTGAAAAGGAAAATTCCAGAATACTACTTATTTAAGGCATACCACGATCACGTTGTAATGTACTAATGGTATCACTAACAACTCACTTTTATCCAATGCTTACATGCACCAAGCACGTCGCATTTATCACCTCGCTGGACCATCACAAAGCACCGCAGGTTTGGGATTTAATTTTGTAACAGGCGCAGAGAAGTCCTGAACCCACTCAGGTCCCAGGTGCTGGGCGGGGGAGCCCACACTCAGGCCAGGTGGCCCCCCTCCAGAGCCGCTCGTCAAAGCACTTCACGTTCTAGAAACTGTGCCCAGGCACATGTTCCCGATACTCCCCACTGGCTGTCCCGGAAGCTCTCGCCCCTCACCCATCACCCCTCCCATGTAACTGGCCTTGTGCTGTCACATGGCTCCTCCTTAACTCGGGGCTGCTGAAAGGCACGGAACAAAACAGCAACAGAAAGAAGTAGAAGCTACAAAGCACAACTGTGTTGCTATCAGGTTGCTGAACTTTCAGTTTTGTTACCAGGACCACTCTATGCAGTGTGTCACCTTTTAAACTAGGTCATTTTTTCCAAGAGAACCAGGTATCTTCACCTCTTCACCTGAAGATGAATGTGTTCATATACCCTTTAGTTCAGAGATGCTCTCACTCAGGAAAGGGAGTCATGGAAACACCAGTTGGTGCCAGTGGCTCACTGCTCCTGGGCTCTCAGTGGAAATAGGTCCTAATTGGATGCATAGCACTTGCTGTGCACATGATTTACAGTTACTCGTAACTATATAAGAATAATTGTAAGATATTTAAGTCAGAGAGTAAGTACACACAGTGAGTAGATACAATTTTCAGAAATGACGACATGTCTGATCTCAGTGCTTCTGAGCCCGCTGCCCAGGCCCGAGCTGCCCCTAAACAAGTCCTCTTCCCAGAAGCCCCACAGAAACACCCCAAACTCACCTGCACCTGATGAATTGCCACTGACGCCCAGGCGAGGTTTGCTGTTGCCACCTAAAAAGGAAGCACGAAACCAGCTCTTATTCGTCACACGCAGACATGCCGACAGGACTCCAGCAGGAGTGTATGGGGAGAATGCTGAGGTCGCTGCACTTTTGAGGATTTTCACAAACACAAATACGTACAAGGTTTCTCTTTTACATTTCTCCTTTATAACTGAGTATAATGCTCCCTTGTTCCTCTCAATTTTCAATAAAAAGACAGCCTGATTAAGAGAGCTATAGTGCAATGATTTTACCATCAAATAATTGTTTTCAGTTTAACAGGAATACTATTAAGAAGGCCTCTAATGACCGCTCTAAAATGATGAAATATTTCCGAAGCTTGGCAGACAATTTCTCAAGTTACTAGCTATCCTTCTTCTGCTATTACTCATTTAATGGATGTTTCCTGGTGCCTTCTCGGTACCATGCACTGTTCTAGATGCTGAAGACACAGCACCACCACCAACAGAACAGCTCATCATGTGCAGAGAATGGCAAGAAAGAAACTCCGTGAGTCCGTCCCTGGGTGGTGACGGGGATGGAGCAGAGAGGCCCCAGAGGGAGGGTGTACAGGGCGGGAGCTGCTCTTGTCCGCCCAGTACTCAGGAGGCCAGCGCTGAAGACGGCCTTCAAAGACATTCCCGAGGGAGATGCAAGGGCACAGGCCCTGCCTGGGAGCCCAGCAGCCTTGCTCAGGGTGGCGTATGGCTGGAGGGAGGACAGGAGGGGTTGGAGGAGCAGATGTGTCACCCAGGCAAGTGGACAGCGTGCCAGCCCCCGAGGGACCTGGGCATCTACCGGGTGTGACCCAGACAGATCCCTGCAATGCTTGGTTTTAGTAGTAGCAAGCCAATGCCAATTCAGGGAACAGTGAGCAGAACTCACTGTTTCCCAAATGGATTTGATGCCAGAACCTTTATTTGGGACATACTCTAGAAAGATAACATTTTTAAGAAAATGAAAGGACCACCAGAATGTGAGAACACTTCAAAGTCATCTGTTAGTTTATTTTGTTCACATTTTGGCATACTTTTATTTTTATTGTTAAAATGGATTCTTACAAAAAAAAAACAGTCTATATTTCCAGTTTAATCAGTCCCTTCTATGTAACTGCAAAACAAACAAACAAACAAACAAAAAGGTTTTGAAAACCCTTATGATTCACATCAAAACACTGGTAAGCACACTGTGGTTCTAGTGTTCACTCATTTCTTCACTGCACGATGTGAACGAGACCGTCAACGGGCCAGGCCGGACAGACGGCGCTGGCAGCAGGCCAGGCCTCACCTCCTGATGAGTCAGGCAGAAGGTCTCTTTGCCCCAGTAGCGGTACAGCTCCAGGATGCCGACCAGATCGCCAATCGCAGTGACGATTGGCAAACAGAGAACAGACTGGATCCGCGTCCCCGATTCCAGTCCGGTGCCTCTTGGAAATCGTTCATCCTGGAAAAGAAAATGGGGGAAAGATATAAAGTCAGCTAAAGAAATGGAACAATTCAATTATGATTCTTATTCCTATCAGAAATTGCCTAATACTCGTAATCAGTCATAAACAGTCTTTTTCCAGGGCAAACCAGGTGACCACGGCTGCTATAAACCTTGTTTAGGAAAATGTATCTGTAGCAACACAGAACCTATACCCAAATCCTGCTTTGATGTTTATAGAGCAGAATGTAATTAATGAATGAACATACACTAATTTCAAGGAATAAGTGTAATTACAATGGTGAACATTCATTTATTCATCACCTTCTGCTGTGCCAGAACTTTCCTAAAGGGCTTTACAAGTGCAGTGTCACAAACCTGAAGCAACCACCACCCGAAGGAAATTATGTATAAAATGCTTCTCTTCTCTTTTTAAGGTTAGAGTAACACAAAAGTGGATATTACTGATAGTCATTCCAATTGGACCTCAAAGACCTGTATTAAATATCAAGTCACCCAATAATTATCAATTACGTAAGAAATGAAATTGGTTCTTTGATGGTTAGCTAGCTTAACAAAAGCACTCAAAGGGGAATTAGGGAAATTAAAATGAATTAATATGTAAACACCAATTCTATTTATTCAATGTGTGCTGTCTGTACGAAGCTTTTTGTGAATCACAGTTAGTGCAAATTATACTTGTAATTTACAGATCTCTTGAAAGTTTGTATATACAATAGGCCATTTTCAAATGACCATTTATATAGTATCTACTTTGAACACGTGTAAACACTGGATCATACTGACCGGTAACATTGAGTGGGTTTAAGGTGACTAACACTTGATATGATATATTCACATATTGTGGCGTGACTGCCACTGTAGCCATCTTAGCAGCTCAATCACATCACGTAAGTATCTTTTTTCATGGTGGGAATAATGAAAATTTAGTATCTTAGCAAGCTGGTAATTATAATACTGCTGTCTATATTTGTTATACTGTGCAACATTTACTTTTAACCACTTGCTTTTTTTCCTTTCTTTTTTCTTTTGATAAAATAACTCGTTACCTGATTTGTCCAGGTCATATAGATAATTAGAGGCAAAACCAAAATTAAAACCCAGACTCCATGACCCTAGCAATTTATAGAGCAAATCCATGACACCCCGGTACCTGTATACTTGGCGCTGTAAAGGCTAAGCTCACACAGTGACATTTCATCACAGTGCCCACATGTCCCATGGAGGACTGCACTGCACCAAGGGCTCCTTTTTGTCATGTTCCCTGTACCCAGTCCTTCATCAGTACCCTCCACAGCTGAGTTGGGGCTTGCCCACGTATTTGCTCTGGTTGATGAGAGGGTAGGAAATCTGACAAGCAGAGGCCTGAAAACTCGCATGTTTTCACTTCTTCTCTAGGACCCCTGCCACCATCGTAAGAGCACACCAGGCGTCCCTTACTGGAGAGGGCGGCGGTGACACACTCTTGGAGAGCTGGGGCCATCTGAGAGCAGCCTGCCCCTAAGTGGTGGCCAGTTTATCTCAGATGTGTAAGAAAGCCCAGCCAAATCTCAGCGGAGTGGCCTAGTCCACAGGCTCATGAAAATAGCAAACGGCTGTGTGACATAAAACATCACTAAATTTTGGGGAAGTCTGTCACACGGCAGTAGTAACTCATTCATACATATCCTGTTAGAATGTGAAACACACACAGTAATCATTTAGTTTGCATGAATATAAACACACATTTTAATGCTTAACTGTACTGGCAAGTGTTGAAACAAAAACTACTCAAATCCACCGCTTGGTATATAAGACAAGGTTCTCTGAGTGCAAAGAATGTGTTTACGGATTCATTTGTTGACATGTATCTTGCTTTAATGCTTTAATAGAATGGTTTCAATTGTAACATCAAAAGGACACATCATCTATCTTAAGTAAACCCTTCAGATTATAAATGGCACAGAGAGGAAAGAGAAAGCCATATACCCCAAGGATGTCTTCCACTAGCAACGTTTTCCGAGACTTGGCCACGTAGGCGGAGGTGGTGGTGCCCTGGGCGATGGGCCCCACGGGGATGAGCCGGGGTTTCCCTTCCTTGATTCCAGGGGGAGTGAACACGCACAGGCTCTGGCAAAAGAAAGGAGCAGGCTTTACAGACCTCCCTGCACAGTGAGACCCCTCGAGAGTGCTTAGGAGTCACGAGCCATCCAGGAGCCGAAGGAGACACCAGAGGAGGGGGCTTTGTGGCAGTCACACTGGAGCGTGTGAGCTGCGATTCTCTCGGATTTCAGACGCACACAAGGTACACATTACACAGAGGGCTCGAGTGAGTGTCTATGTGCAGAAAAATAGCCTCCTATTTTGATACACAGCAAATAAGATAGAAAAAAAGTAAGGCATCCTGGGGCCCAAGCTGCTGTAACAAAAGAGGCAGGCAGACACGGGGCCCGACCTCCCTAAGGCTGGCTCGCGCATCTGCAGGTGGCATCAGTAACGCTAAGTCAGTGATTTGGTTATAGTTTTCATTTTCATTGAAAATGCTTATTTCTCAGAACATTATTTCTTTTTTTAAGACTCGGTCACTCCATTCCTTACACTGGCCTGCCTGTAAAATTACAGAATACGTGCTTCATAGAAACCTCACTCTTCTCTGCAAAACATTTTGGCCAAGTCTGAGTGTATCTTCCCTTTCTGCTGACGGGGTGGGAGGGTCAAGTTCTGACATTATTTTAAAATAAATGTTTTTACAAAGATGATCAGTTATTTTGACAAAATCAAATTATATATTTAAATAAATATCTACTAAATAAGGACTGCTAATCGAAACCAATCATCTAGGGATGGGGGGATTATACTCATAATTATCTACTCAATCTGCCAATCGCCGAGGCTCGGGCACATTCTCCCGACACCTGCGCCATAAATTGCGTTGCTGGAACTTACAGGGTGAGGCCCTTTTGAAGCAAAAAGCATCAGTCGATCCTCGTGAGCTAAACATGTTTCTATTAAGACCTGCCATTTCTGAGCTAGTTCTAGGTGAAGACAGTGAGTTAGGTGTATTTATTAAGTTATTAGACAAGTAGTTTTCAAGCTCTGTAATGTCCAAGAACGTGTTCCTGAAATAACATCTTATTTATCATCACAAGAGAGTGAACCCTATGCACACCGGCTCCCCTTCCCAACAGGGATGGGGGGAAGGACAGCAGTGCTGGCGGGAGGCACCTGGCTGCTTTGAATAAACTGTCATTGTTTAAAGAGTAAGAGCCAAGTGCAAATCATTTTTCATTCACAAGTATATCAGTTAGCACTGTGCCTAAGTAGCATTTGCTATTAAGTACAAGGCTTGTGAAACATATATTTTACATGTTTCCTTTAGAAGAATTAAATTTAAAATGTTTAAATACAAGGTATACACTTTAAAAAGATTTCACAAATTTAAACATAAGATGACAGGTGACAATTTCACCTTATTTATTTTTAAAGAGGCCAGCAATCAGAACCCGTTTTTAAAGTGACTGAAGCACCAATGTTACCTACGGCACAGAGGAAGTAACCTCCATTAGATTTAGTGTCTATCACTGTGCAGTACAAGTCAGTGTGTTAAGACTTAAAGGAGCAGAAAAATGACTCAAGAACAGGAAAAGAGATGACTGCAAGACCAGAAATTTAAAGCATATGGTATATTTAGCCCGAAGGAAACCAGAATTCACAATGATTTTCTCGAACTCTGAGAAAGTTACTCCTTTCTCTACCGAAGGCAGAACTGAGGAAATGAACTGAAACTGACCTGAGTGCACAGAAAACTTACAGAAGCCTTCCCGTGATGGCAATAGGAAGGAGGTAAACTCTGGACAAGCTCCCAACAGCAGCTTTTTTATTTTTGTATTACAGTTGTCGACTTTGTTGTTTGAAGATACACGACACATATCTTTTTTGGATGACTTTGCTATATATACGCATTAAGGTTGGGTTTAATAACATCCTCATGTTATACCTACATCGTAATTCAATACTGATTGAAGACCTTGTACATTCCTATATTAGATCATTTATTTAATATATAAAACATTTATTGTCTCTTTAAGGTTTCCATGAGAGTCACAAGAAACAGATAAGCAAATACTAGACCTGGAGTATACGGAAAACTACTCTATGTATTAGGCTTGCTGAAGATAAATGGTTTACAAATCTTTCAATTACTTCACTGAATCTGAAAAACTTCTCTTTGTGGATAAAGAACTGTCAAAAATTAAGCAATTCTTTACAGTGGGGGCTTTATACTTGTGTTACTAATCAGCTCTTGGATTTTTATCGTATTTATCAAATAGAAACGCCCTGGATGAGAGCTGGGGCCAGGAGCTAAGCAACATCGGATGACGCCATGCTGTCACAGGAAGGCAGAGCTCAGGCAGGAGGGATGGGGGCCGGTGTGTGGCACCTGTCCCCTGGTATTTTCCCAGCCTCACTTTCTCTCCACTGCATCAGTGGTCTCCTACATTTCGGGGGACTTAGGGCTGTTTTTTTTCCTCCATAAAATTCACGCGTGTAAAAGCTGCCTTCGTACCACCCACTGCTGACCGAAGCCCAGGCTCTGGTTTAAACTGTGTGGTCTTTATGGTCTTTGTAGCTGAATGGAGTGAGAGGCAGTTACCATCACAGAAAGGAAAAGTCAATAACAAAACTAAATTAGAGGCTGAATTTCACACATCTTCAAGGATGGGGGCAAGTTCATTCAACCTACCTTTATGCAGTCCTCAGAAATAATCAAATAGTTGTGTATTGAACAGTCCTCTTTCCCCCGTTAGAACTGACACCTTCATCCTACACGAAACCCCCAAGTACACCTGACCCTGTTTCTGAACTCCCAACTTGGTGCCCTTTGGGTGGTTTTTCCACCACTCTATTTTAATTACTGTGACAGTTCACTTTGCGATCTGGCCAGGCAAGTCTTGCTTTGGTTCTCATTGTTCCAAAATAATCATAATGTACTTTATAAGACGGATCTTGCGTTTTCCATTGGTGTAGGGCCTGCATTACCGCATTAACAAATGATGGGTGCAAGTAAGTTCCAAAGAAGCTTACAAAGGAAATATGGACTTTATTTTTTCAAACTCAATCCTTATGATTTTTGACATAAGGATTTCACTGGGACGTTCAGATTAATAAGACAAAAAATATTATTCTCACTATTTTCATAGGAGAATGAAAGCTGCTCCTCACAAGCATCATTGCAGAATATTTTAGAACACATTAATGATGTCCTACATCCATTTACAGTATCTAATTTGCCTATAAAATCCAGTGTTGAATGGAATCTCTAAACTTAATTCCTGCTCTAATGTTTTATAAATCATGAGCACCAACGATTTTCAGAGGCTAGAGATAAAAAACTACAATAGGCAACTAGGAAAAGGTTCGAAGTGTCAAACCTCGATCACCTCCACCCTTCCCAGGAGCAGCCAGCTGCACGCAGGGCACGCACTTGACAATGACGGCCATGCACTTTATCCCTCTCCGAGAGCCCTGCCCGTACACCTCCAATGGCATCAGGGCGACTGGCCAAGGGGCTGGGAATCAACCCAGAGGGCACGGGTGCTGAGGAATGAACCAGCTTTTCAATTTTTCAAAGAAATTCATGTGAACTAGCCAATATTTGTAATAACAGAAAATTTTCATACATAGATGAAAAGTTAGATAATTTCGACTCAAGAAGATTGGTTACAATAGCTTGGCTCAATGAAGGAAAAACAAAGCACTACAAATTACAAAGAAGCAAATTTGGAAAAATAGATTTGGTGGAAAATGAACCAGAGGCTAGACTACCGCAACTTATTTTTAAAAACCTGATTTTTTGATGACATGGGAACATCTGATTCATCGCCATCAACTAACCAGATGATTCCACTTCAGCTAGTGAACACCTGTTCTCCTCTTTCCATATACAATTCAAAGATCACTTTACTCTGACAGTTCATTTTTATATTAAGCCTGCAAACCACAACTGATCAATTTTTAGAAACACTTTTTTAAGAAGAAAGCATACTTCAGCTGACAGTTTTCTTCCAAGACACTAGATGGCATTGGACAGTAAGTGCACTTAGCTCTGTGCGCCTGGCACAACACCAGGCCCACACCCACCTGGAGCCTGAATGAAGTATAAAAACTGTGTTCACACAGTTCTAAGAAATAAACCTGCTAAAGTTTATCGTGCAATTGAAAAAAGTTACACAATTACCATCATACAATTGGCTCTAAAGTGGCTTCCAAAACCAATATATTAAAAGAAATGTAGGAGGTTAATTTATGAATTAAAAGTTTTAAATATAATTAGAGTTCACAGGTTTTCAGCTTTTAAAAACAACTCTTACAGATAACACAAGAAAACTGCTATGATAATATTATAAAATGAATTACCTATCAGTTGGACTTTGTGGCTAGGTATGAGAGAGAAAAACTGTAAAAACATTAAAAATTGAGTTAGGCAAAATCTGAGTCATGGAAAAACGAGCTCTGTCCAGCAAACATTTCTAGAGTACCTGGTACATGTTATGTGTCAGACGCTGTTACGGGCCAGCACACAAAAATACCTGCTTCCTTGCCTAGCTCCAGATTTCTCAGAAATTGCTGCTGCTTCCAAAAAAAGGCCTTTCTTTTCCCATCTCACCTACTAAGAGAGAGGTCGCCCAAGCCCCACTCATCCCAACTGTTCCTAACGGGATCCACTCGCAGCGCCCCCATCACATCCAGGATCCCAGAACACCCTGCGTTCCTCCCTGTTCGCTAAGACCACGTGTTATAATTAACTGGGTTTCTCAACTTCCCCTGCTGGTTGTTCAGGAATGGTTTTTTATTTTATCTTTGAATGCTCCACAATTTAGCAGTTTTTGGTGAACAGCAGGAGTTTAAAATGGTTTGTTGAATGAATGACATTCATGACATAACATTTAAGCAATGGAGGTTAAATTAAGTTTTACAGTTTAAGTTTTGTCGAAGTCACAAAGAGGTGAATTGGAACTCACCAATCCCAACTCCAGAGTCAAACACCTCTGACAATCTAAGCTGCTCACTGGAGCTTTCCTTCCATCCACGCCCTGAAGCCGTGCAGACAGCACAGGCACTCTCTCCTG